TAACATTAAAAAAAAAAAAAAAATCTACGCATTACATGGGCAACATTAATAAGATAGGTTCGAACCCAAAAAAGCCCAAAAAAAAAGTTAATAACCCAATAAATTGTGACTTAATTAATGAGGATTTTTATTTCCTACCTTATTTTTTGATTAGTTTGGAAAAAAATTAGTTTTGAGATATATATAAATTGATTTAAAGACATTATAATTGATAAGAAAAAAAGAAAAACTCCCACTAACACCTGTTAGTTCGAGTAGAAAGAGTTCTACTCTCCTTATATAAGATTTTGAGTTCGAATTTTATGAATAAAAAAACATATACTTTGAGAACTTTCCTTAAATTGACTTTGACGCAACTCAATTTTAAATTAATTAGAATCTAACATAATTATCGGATATCGAGAGGTTAGTATATAAAAAAAAAAATCTCCTACAAAATAAAACCCAAATATATAAACTCAATATTATGAAAATATTTCTGATACATAAAGCGGTTATTAGCACCTTTCGTTCCATATTCAAGGAATATGATTTGACAACGGTGGGCATAATTCATTTAGGCAAATGTGAAGACAAAGTTATACGAACGTGGGTTGTGTGGTCGGTGCGATTTTTAATTTCTGAAGTCGCATAATTTATGTCACATGCACCACATGGGGCTGCCATGCCTAATTCCAATTTTTATTTGGGCTTGGACGGTTAGAGTCTTTTTGGATTAAATTTTGCGTACTTTAAAATTAATTATTTTTAAGTAATTTTAAAAATATATTTTTAATATTAATTTAATGTATTTAAAGGAAAAATAATGATAAATAAGATTAAAATTTAAAATTAAAATATGAAATGAATAATGTAGTATAAGTTATATTATTTAAAATATTAAAAGATAAATTTTATATTATTTAATAACTACTTTTTTATTTTTTTAAAATTCATAAGATTGTATATATTAATTAATTTAATGATATAACTCATATCATATCATTAATATTAAAATTTCATCTTAAAATTTGATTTTTTTATTATTATTCTTAAAAAATTAAAATTTTAAATACTAATTTTAAAAGATAAATTTACAAAATACTTTTTTTTTTTTTAACAATGAGAATTTTTCTTCGAGGGATAGGGAAGGGGGGACTTAAGATTAAACCCAAATTCAACTAGTCTTAAGCACGTCATGCCTTGTAGGGAGGTCAATTGACCTCCAAGTACTGGACTTACAAAATACTATTTATTTTACTAATAAATTTAACTTTTGAGATTTGATTAAAATTTTGTCTTAAAATTTGATATTTCTTTATTATTATTCTTAAAAAATTAATTTTTTAAATATTAAATATTAAATATTAAATTTATAAAATAATATTTATTTTACTAATAAATTCAACTTTTGAAATTCGCATCGCTATCTTGTTGTGCGTTCTTTGATCACATTTGAGACCAGATCAAAGTCACGAACTTCACATGTTAGAAAATGAAACCCCAACCAATACAATGCATTTCTTACATGCTAGTAGTGGACGGACTTTGACAACGCCTTCTAGTGGTCGTTTTGTTCAATTACATTAACTAAATAAATAATATTAGTAAAATGTGAATAATAATTGCTAACTTACGTTGGTCAAGTTAAAGCTTTGACGTTGCTGCAATGTTATTATGGTTAGCCGGAATACTCAAATTCGCCTCAAAGAATAGTGGTAGGACTGATTTACGTTTGAACACAAAAGAAAATAAATTTATTTATAAAATTTTTTATTTGGATAAATCATCTTAAATTTAATATGTAATATCATTTGATATCAATAATTTGTTAACAATGAACTTATTAGCGATATAATAAATTAGCAAATGACTGACGTCAAATGATGTTATATGTTAAATTTAAGACGATTTGTCCAATTCAAAAATTTTATGAGTAGATTTGTCCTCATTTTTTGTTTAGAGATGGATCCATTTCTGTTATTATACTTTGAGAGATGGATTTAAATATTTTGTCATTATCGCCACATCTTAAGATGTTAATCATTTTTTTTTAAACATGAGAATTATGGGAAAAGGAAAAAATTTTCAAGTAATTAGTGAAAATCAAAATCTCTACCAACAGCAGCCAAACACTTAAGTTTGGGGACGAACCATTAGATCAAAGGACCAGTTCAAGATGATAATCTTAAATTAATGTTACACCTTAGTAGGATGTTAATGTTATAGTTATATATAACAATAAAAGGTATTATACAATTCAAATTACATAGTTTAAATGATTAAATGAGGATAAACTCTTTAATATTAAAAGCTGTTTCTTATTTAATAATAATTATTTTATAAGTTGATACAGTTTAAATTATAAAATAAAAAGCTTATATTAAACAAAAATTAATAAGAATAATTTTTTATAATGATATTAACGCTATTAAATTGTTTATAAAAAAATTATAAATAATTTAAAATTTAAAATTGGGTAAAACCCCATTTGGTCTCTAAATTATTGTACGGATCCCTGATTTAATCCTTAAACTTAAAAAATTCCTAATTTGATCCTTACTGTTTACTATTTTGACCCTAATTTGATCATTTCATTAAAATTTTGTTGACGTGACATGTTAACTAATGGCAAGGGCATGTCTTTTTAATAAATAAAATACGTGGAATTATAATGTGGCAAAATACATGACTTGGCCAAAAAAAATTATCTAAATAATCTTTAAACATAATAAAATGACTATATTACCCTTATCTTCAACCTCTAAAATCTAAATCCTTACATTTTCTCTCTCCTTTCCCCAACACCAAATCGGTTCTCTTTCCTCTTTCTTTCCTTTGCCTTTTTATTTTTTTATTTTTTGGTTTCCCGCCCGGTATCTGGGGCTTCGCCCCGACTAATCTGAACTCGACCTGCGTCGTGCACCTGGAAATGGTGGGTGAGTCTCCCAGCGGGGACTGCTGTGTGCACAAGGTCTCGAACTCGAGATCTTACTTAAGCTAGAACAAGCCGCTTACCACTTGATCCAACCCCTCGTTGGTCTTTCCTTTGCCTTTTGCAAACCTTTATACTTTTCTCAACTATTTGAGATTCCCAAGGCAGAGCAAGGAAGCAGAGCCAAGAACTTCAAACCCAGTAGCCATTGGGTTCTTTGGAACCTGGCAACTTGTCTCCTTTTTTCCTCTTAAATCTGAAATCTTGAAACATACTTTGTTTCTTGGATCTTGTTTGGTGAAATAGAAAACATGATGGTTGATAAAGAAGATCTGAGCTTGTGTCTTAGCTTGAGTTTTCCTCAGATTCACCATTTTTTGCTATTGAATCTTTCATCGTCTTTTCCCCTTAGGTTTTGCGCATGTCTCCTTTTTATACCCATTATCCCTCTGTTTTCCCAAGAAACAAATAGAGCTTTAAAAAGTTTTATTTTTCATCTTTTTATTTTTTGGGTATTAATTTATTGCTTTCTTCATTCCCTTGAAGAAGCTTTTATTGTTACTGTTGCCTTTACATAAAAGAGCTATATTCCAGTGGATTGGGGTAGATTTTGAGATTTGATTTGCGGTGTTTTGGATTTGTTAGGTTCACAAGCAATGGGCAATGAACAACTAGATCTGGAAGAGAAAGTGGTGAGGAAAATCAAGGGAGAAGAAGATGAATTGATTTAGTGAAGAAAATCAAAGGTGGTTTCAGGTGTTAGAGTTTATGGTAGTAGAAAGGAAAGGAAAAGGAAGAACCCAACAAAAAGAAAAAAAAAAAAGGAAGAAAGAAAAAAAAAGAGAAGGAAATTTTTTTTAATGTTTTTTCTTGCCATATCATTATTTTTGGCATGCTATACATCCGTGTTAAAATAATTTTACATGTCATCTTTCTCACATCAAATAATAGAACACGTAGGCAAATTTTTAACGGAAGGATCAAATCAGGATAAAAATAGTAAACAATAAAGATTAAATCAATGATTTTTTAAGTTTAGGGACCAAATCAAGAGTTCATATAATAATTTAAGGATCAAAATGAGATTTTAACCTTTACAATTTGATATCAAATTCACACATGGAGACGGTGAAACCGCTCTCGTAAGAACACAAGTACATGTACAACCGGATGGTCGGTCGGTCGGTCGGTCAATTCCTAATTTCCAATTTCGGAACGACGGAACGACGGATATACGGAGGTTGTCTGGTGGACAAACAAACAAAACCCGAACCGACCCAAATAAAAGATGGTTCTGTTGTTTTGTCCGAAGAGTATTTCTCTTTCGATCCTCAGAATCTAATTCCTAAATCCTTTCTTTGTGGCTACGAAACTATCCCCGGGATTTCCTCTTGAGTTTCCAAGCCACAATCCTTAAAACCCTAAAATTTTAATTCTTCCCCCCCCTTCCCTTTTTTTTTTTTATAATTTTTTCTTTAGCTCGTTATTACTCGATAAAGACTGTCATGGACTGATTTGCAAACCTCTTTCATCGACTCTGCAACTCAACAACAATGCCCATAATGCAAAACCCATCAACAGTGAGCCAAGACCCAATCCCTGTGTTCGATTTGGTGACCCAATTGAGTCATTTTGCTTTTAACAGGAAGTTTCACCTATCGAACTCAGATGGGTTCTCTTCTTTTAAGCCAAATTTCGTGCATTTTGCTGCGTTTAGGGGCTCGGTGAATAGGCGTCGAGCTGTTTCGTTCAGTTCGAATGCGACTGTTCGGAATAGCGCTGCTTCCGGCATTGGGAGGATTGTAAATGAGTTCAATAGAGTTATTAAGTTTCACTGTGATAGAATCCCAATTGGGTTTGCTTCGGTTCGGGTGGGTTCTGGGGAGAGTAACGGGGTGTCGGAAGATGGGTGTGGCGTTTTGGAGGTGGAGGGTTTGCCTTTGAATGGAGTCGAAAACGGAAGCCCCAAGAAAGTTTTGATTTTGATGAGTGACACTGGTGGGGGTCACAGAGCGTCTGCAGAAGCTATTAAGGCTGCGTTTAACGAGGAATTTGGGGATGGGTATCAGGTTAGTTTTGTTGTGTTTGAATTAAGCAAAATCTCGTCTTTGCTTTTCTGCCTCAAGGAAAAATTTTGAAGCTCATTTGCCTTTCTGCTTCCTTTTTATGTTTTATGCATGCTGGTTAGAAAATTTTGTGAAAGAAATCAGCTGCTGCGTAAGTATTTATATATTTAATGATCATGTTCTGTTTTTAAAAGCCTGCCTATTGCAGGTTTTTGTTACGGATTTATGGACAGATCATACGCCCTGGCCATTTAACCAGCTTCCAAAGAGCTATAATTTCTTAGTGAAACATGGATCATTATGGAAAATGACATATTATGGAACTGCTCCTCGGGTGGTTCATCAATCTAATTTTGCTGCAACTTCAACGTTTATAGCTAGGTAGGAGTCCGAAGTCCTCATCAGACGGTTAACTCTTTGGTATTTTCTGTGTAGTTACCTCCCCTTTTTTTTTTTGGCTGTAATTTCTGTGTAGTTACTTGGAATCCTGTTGGTCTATTATGAATGATTTACAGTCGAAATGGAGTAATATATCAGGCTGTCAACAAATTGTCATGTGATTTATGTGCCCTTTCTTGACATGAAGCAGCCACGATGTCAAATTTGTCTTTGCTGGACATAGGGAAAATGTAATGCCCTAAGTATCAACAATTGTCTGTCCTCTTGCTACTTGATGTATTAGTTGAAAGTTGGCTGTTTTGTTTGTTTCCTCTGTATAATGTATTATATGGTTTATCAATGTTCTGATATTTTTGAGTCGTGTTATACCTCACCCTTGTTCTTAGAGGTGGCTGTGTCTTTTTCTCCTAGCTGACTTTGAAGTGCTTAATTATCAGCAAACATCTGCCTTACCTTACTTGCTGTAAAGACACTCTAGAATTTCCTTGCTGAGGGGAAAAGATGTCAAAAAACCAAGTTATACTTGCTTCAGTTCTTCCATCCTGTAAAATAAAATGAATACCATTTTTTTTTTCTCTTTCAGAAGTGCAAAAATCTTTATACTGTTGTTATTGTGTTTTGTGGAAAATAGTCTTGTCTGATTCTTTTTGTTCTGAATTCTTACAGAGAGGTTGCCAAAGGATTGATGAAGTATCAGCCAGACATTATTATTAGTGTGCATCCACTAATGCAACATGTTCCGCTTAGAATTTTGAGGGCAAAGGGTCTACTGAATAAGATAGTTTTTACCACAGTGGTCACAGATCTAAGCACTTGTCATCCTACATGGTTGGCTCAGTTCTGCTTCATAGTTCTTATTTTTCAGTTATTCTTTGTGTAATTTTGGTCTTGAATCTCATTTTCTTAGGTTCCATAAGCTTGTAACTAGATGTTACTGCCCAACATCAGAAGTAGAGAAAAGGGCGTTGAAAGCTGGACTGAAACCTTCCCAAATAAAGGTTTATGGCCTTCCTGTGAGACCTTCCTTTGTGAAGCCCATTCGACCAAAGGTTCATTGGTTACCCTTGAACTAATTAACTTTTAAGTTTTTGTTAGCCATCTTCTTATTCTTGCATGGATACTTTATTCTTAGTATCCCCATCTTTGAATGAATGGACATGAGTTCTAAATACGTTCTGTAGGAGAGATCTCTAGTCCAAATAGCAAATTGCTGGCCTGAACTTGGTTGATTTTTGAAATGTGAACTTGATATGAGTTCTTTATTCAGTGACAGTGAACTGATGCTTGAGTAGAGTTTCCCTTCCTCCCTAGCAGCTCCTTGTCTTCTTTACCTCTACATTGGTGAAAATGATACTGACAAGTTTAATTTCAATAATTTTAGGTTGAGTTGAGGAGAGAATTGGGAATGGATGAGGATCTTCCAGCTGTTTTGCTGATGGGAGGAGGAGAAGGGATGGGGCCCATTGAGGCTACAGCCAGGGCACTTCGAGATGCATTATATGATGAGAATCTTGGAGAGCCAATTGGTCAGGTCCTTGTGATATGTGGCCATAATAAAAAACTTGCAAACAAATTGCTTTCAATTGACTGGGAAATTCCTGTCAAGGTATTAACTTACCATGAGACTTGACTGCATCCATGTTGCATGGTAATTATTTGTCTGCTTCTTCACTATATTGCATGTAATCCACAAGACCACTATACCTTGAAGAATGACGAGGACATATTTCCACTTGAACTTCTACTGGCTTAAATTATACCAATGGCTTTCTAAAGACTCTGACTAATTCCACCATTTGAATGTATATGTTAAGCATGCAAAAGCATGTTTCAACTTTTAACTGTAAATTCTGAAGAACCATGCAGAACTATTAATGATTTTAGAACTTGTGCATGTTATGATTGTTATTATATCGACTTGCTATTGTGGAAATGGAGGAATAAAACATTAAAACATGAGCATTGAAAGGTACATAACTTATAATATCGGCTTGCTATTGCACGCGCACCATATGCCCGAAGTAGAGTTGTTAAGATGTTCTCTTTTATGCAGGTCAAAGGATTTGTTACTAAAATGGAGGAATGTATGGGTGCTTGTGACTGCATTATCACTAAGGTAATTGTCTAATGACATTAATGATAGGTGTATCAGTATGCATGTTTCTTAATTCATCATTAGTCATCAACTAATAGTAACTTTGCTTCTATAGGCTGGACCGGGGACAATTGCAGAAGCCATGATACGAGGCCTCCCAATAATTCTAAATGATTACATTGCAGGGCAAGTAAGTAAAACAAAAACATCATTTGAGCTTCATAAAACGAAACATTATGTATAATGAATCCTCTGACAACGACAACATTGTTAACTCAGTCAGAACCTTTAATCTATTTTTACAGGAGGTTGGGAATGTGCCATATGTGGTAGAAAACGGATGTGGGAAATTCTCCAAGTCCCCAAAAGAGATAGCGAACATCGTTGCTCAGTGGTTTGGCCCCAAAGCAGATGAACTGAAGGCCATGTCTCAAAATGCACTAAAGCTTGCAAGGCCTGATGCTGTGTTCAAGATTGTTCATGATCTCCATGAACTGGTTAGACAGAGAAATCTGGTGCCCCAGTTTTCGTGTTCCACTTAATTCTTGTACCCCCACCCAATCAATTTTGTTACAACCGTTTTCCCAGAAAATGTATAATTAAGCATATTATTATTTTTTGGGGAAATTTTATTATTTTAATAAAATTTCATTCAGTCCTATCCCTTGCATTTGCTTCTTATTCTAAATTTTTTCTCATAAAATCATAAAAGTTTTTTATTTTACAGTGTATGCTTTACAAAATATGAATTACTAAACAGAAAAGCGAATGCTAATATTAGAGAGTATATTTTTGTTTGATAGTTAAATTTGTACGGTTTAAGAGAGCAGCACAATACTTTTTCAAAATCATAATTCTTAATTAAGATTTATTGATCATTAGCAGGAAGAGAAGTGTTGATATGAGTGAAAAGAATTTAATTTTTTTTAAATAAAGTTTTGAGTTTGAGTCTTATGAATGGAGAAATATTTGTAAAATCCCACAACTTGTTAGTTTGAGTAGAATGAGTTTGATTTTTTTAAACAACATTTTGAGTTTGAGTAGTCTAAATGAAAAAACAAATGACAAGAAAGCTTCTTTTTATATAAGGTCTGATTCGATTCAATTTCGAATTAATTAGAGTTTAATGTGGTTTTTAGATGTCGAGAGGGTTAATAAAAGTAAAATAGAAGAAATAGGTGTAGGAAGAGTTTCTCTCTTATAAGATTTGATTAGATTTTAAATTAATAAAAATTCAACGTGATTATCGGATATTGATACGTAAAAAAATAAAAAAAAAACCTTTGAGAGGGAGGTCCTTGTTTTGGCGCCCAAAAGAAATTAAGGGAGGTGTTGACGCTGACGTGTGATGCCATGTCAGAGGCTCAGCATAGTTAAGAGCACACTAGGTCACACAATCCACCATCTAGACTCATCTGATGCCACGTCAAACTACCCGCCTGTCTTGCTGCCTCGTGGACTTGCCGCTAAGGTTTCTGGCACCTTTCTTCGAACTCAGCGAAAACTTTCGTCAAAGTTGGGAACTTTTAAGACTCTTATCTTAGATTCATCTCGTTTGGATCACATAATACTCCATTTCTCCCATGATTCTTCCTGGGATCCCGAGTTTTCACATGGAGAGGAAGATTTTATAGCAAACCCAGGTTTCAAAGTCTGCGTTTTTTTTTTTTTTTTTTTTTTTTTTTTTGTATTGAATATAGGGTTTGGTTGAGTTTTGGAAGATGGGTTGGAAGTACAAAGCTGGGTTAGGGTTGATTGGAACGGTTGTGTTCATATGGGTCGCCTCCGCAGAGATAACACAGGTCTGTGTATTCTTGGTTTACTCTGTTTCCAAGGTTTGTTTGGTTTCCTAGGAATGATTGGTGAAATTGCCCCACTCACTCTAATTATTTGATGCAGAGGATCTTTGCAGAGTATAATCAGCCCTTTGCACTCACGTATCTTGGGGTGTCTCTTATGGTGGTTTATTTACCCATTGCGGTTTTAAAAGATTGGATCTGCAGCTTATTTAATGGCTATTCTGCGCTTGGTGGCACTTCAGCTGGGCTTGATGTTCCTCTTAGAATCAATGAATTGCAATATAATACAGAAGCTGACCTCGGAAGCTGCCTTGTAACTGATAAGGATCTTAGTGAAAGAGAAGAGGGTCAGCCTTTCAACGCCAGTGGTGAGAAAGATGAACCTAACTTGTCTAAGCTTGCGGGTGAACTTAATTCTTGGGGAGTTGTCAAGTGCAGTTTATACCTAGCCCCAATATGGTTTATAACTGAGGTAACAAGATTTCCTCTGCCTATTTGTTGTTGTTTGTTAGGGCTTTAGAGAAGCTTGTAGGGGCAACTCAGGCCTCCCGAATTCTGGTCATGGGATATATTATATAGTTTAACTTTAACAGATGGATGATTGAGTTGTGTCTTATCTTTTTGAAAATCGTATTCTAACAACTTGAGGAAAAGAATTAAATGGTTTGATCAAGGTTATATGATGGGTTTAGTTGAGTTCATGAGCTATATTGATGGGATTATGATGGAGTTAATCATGGATGCATTTTTCTTGCTTAATGTGCATAGCTAATTTCAGTGCTTTGATGTCTTGCAGTATCTCTCAAACTCTGCTCTTGCAAATACTAGTGTTGCGAGTACCACTGTCCTGACCTCTACTTCGGGGCTTTTTACACTCTTCTTTGGAGCTCTTCTTGGCCAGGAATCAATAAATATTGTGAAAGTGGTTGCTGTTTTTATAAGCATGGCTGGTGTTGCTATGACCACAGTTGGGAACACTTGGGCATCTGATGAAATGCTTAGTGTCACTGAGTATGTAATCCTTCCTTGGATAGATGTAGCCTGAACTTATTAAAGGCCATTCCTTTCCATCTCTTCCCTTGCCCACATTTTTGCATCTCCTCTTCCAAGCTATGCATTCTAGATATTGAATATGGGTTAAATCAGGGGTTTTCCCTAATATTCTATAAGCAATATTCATATAGGGTGAAGTGTTTTGACTATTGAAAAGAAATTTAAAAAGAAAAACTGCCTCTTCATTCTATAATTTCTTTTTTCTAAACCATGTGGTGTTCATTTCCAAAGGAGTAGAAGGCACTCTATTATAGGGGATATTTTTGGTCTCCTCTCAGCAATTTCCTATGGACTATTTACAGGTAAGATTTGCCAATGAAATTTATAATCAATTTTAGTCTAGTTAGATTGCTTCTTGTTTAACTCTAGTCTATTTTTAATGCAGTCCTTCTCAAGAAGTCTGCTGGATCTGAAGGAGAAAAGGTAGATGTGCAGAAGTTCTTTGGATACATTGGTCTCTTCACTCTTCTTGGCCTTTGGTGGCTTGGTAAGTAGCTTGGTAATCTCTGAGAGATAAGATTTATTTCATCTTTACAAAAAAATTTCAAACAAGTATTACTTGACTGAGAAATAGATCATAGAAATCGATAATAATCTACTTACAGGAAAAGCTTTTAGTAGGTAGCCTTCCCCTCCCCCTCCCCCTTTCCTTTTTCTCTACTCAATTGAAGATGGGAAGGTGGGATTCGATATCCTATTATCTCATTGCTCTTGCCTATCAATTTCCATGCAGTTTGGCCACTGAATGCTGTTGGAATTGAGCCTCCTTTCAGGCTTCCACATTCAGCTTCCACTGGGGAAGTAGTGTTGTTTAATGGCTTTGTTGGGAGTGTACTTTCAGACTATTTTTGGTGTGTGTCTCAGCTTCCACTTACATTAAATATTGTCATTATGCTACACATTGCAGACTGACTAAACAAATGTCATTGGATTCCTTTGACAATGCAATATTTAAAAAAAAAAAAAAATGCAGGGCCCTTTCTGTTGTTTGGACAAATCCATTAGTTGCAACTCTAGGCATGTCCTTGACAATACCCCTTGCAATGGTAGCTGATATGGTCATACACGGCCGTCATTTCTCTGCAGTCTACATCTTCGGCTGCATTCAGGTACATGCATGCTTATTTTCAATATCATTTTAATCCAAATGTTCTATCCAGGATCTTTAGACCAGATTGAAGAATGGAAAAGTCGTTCTGGTGGCAATCACAACATGGTTGATTCTATTTTCTTTGGGAGCTTTTAATTTCTGAACTTCAATTACAGCCCTCATGTCTTCTAGTAGTATGCAAATGAAGAACTTCATTCGTCAAATTTTGTTGGATACAGGTTTTTGCAGGTTTTATCATAGCTAACCTTTCAGACAAGTTATTGGATAAAGCAGCAGGGTTGTAATGTAGCTGTGACATGCAAATTTCCAGGTTGTAATCTGATAATAATAATAATCTCAACAAACAAAGAGCAAAGTTTAATGATTAACTTTCATAAATTTCATAACCACAGATATATTTGTATATACTGATTGTTGTTCTTAACAACTGTGGAATCCATTCCTGTACTGATCTTACAAATTCAGTTTTCACACTTCGTTACATTTTGAGTTTCGTAAATATTGTCACTTTAAAGAATTATTTATAAATAATTTATAGGGATTTATTACCGGCATTTTAGTTCTAGCTGGGATTGCCAGCTGAAGAAAAAGACCAAAATGTGATTGAGGCTTCTTTTTATAATGTTTTGCGAAAATTTTTTTATACAATGTTTGGGTGAAGTTATTGTCACACCTTATTTTGATAATACCATACTTAAAATTATGAACTGACATTGTTTATCCATCGTTCTAAAAATAATATATTTTTCTTTCCAAAATTATCTTTTCTTACTTCTTTTAACCTTAGCCGCTGCAGCCCTCGTTCTACTTCATATTGTAATTACATTGAACGGAGCCGCACGCAGCCTCCTCTCTCTGTTCGTTTATTTTTAAAGTTGTCCTGTCTTAATTCATGGTGGGCCATCGTCTTCTGTTTTTTTCTTCTTTCTTTATATATAAGTTAAATTTTTTCTACTTTTTTTATGAGTTCTTAATATATATATATATACATAGGCATATATATATATATATATATATATCATAGGTGATTGGATTTTAATTTCTGTTGTTAAAATTATTATTTTAGCTTGCAGATTAGTTGTTATTTTGATCTAATATGAAATCTCAAGAGATAAATTTAAATCATCAAGTGACTAGATAATCTGGAGAAAATGAAATGTCTCAATTGTATTAACTAATGAAGAGCAAATTTTTCATGAGTGCAGATGGATGACCCAAAGTAGATTTTTCTTCAAACTTTTCATGCCTTATGGGGTGCTTTCTTGGATGCACATTGTTTGTGAAATTTAAAAGTTGTGAATTTTAATTCAGATGGGTTTACAGTACTAGTTATTAGTACAACATATTAGCCAAATTCGTAATGTGGACTTTCTTTAGAGGGTGATTTTTAATTTATATATTTGTTTTTTTAATTACATTTGATAATTGATGTTTAACTCTTTTATTATTTACATTCCAATTATAATTAAGAATGATTTGATTCAGAATTTGTGTTCTGTTTTTTTATTTTTTGCCAAAATAATTTGATTATTTTAAAGAAAAAGAAAAATAAAGTCAAATTTATTTTTGAAAAGGAAAAGATATGAAATAGTATGAGGGCTGTAGCTGCAAGGGTAAAGAAAAGTAAAAAAGGGTAGTTTTGGAAAGAAAAAAGTAATATTTTTAGAATGATGGGTAAAGATGTTAATTTATAATTTTAGGTGTGACATTATCAAAATAGAGTGTGAAAATAATCTCACCCAATTGAAAAATATAAATTTATAATCTTTAATTAATTTTGATTAATTAACTGTTTTTATTAATTTAAGATACTAAAAGATAAGAGATATAACGCTACGGCTGCAGGTAGGAAATTTTGTGAAATTCTGATAACACCCCATCTTTCTCCATCCTACCTTCTTCCCTTCATTC